GCTACAGTGAGGACGTAGTCGACCTATGTAACTGCATTGATGTCGCAATGAGTGATGCCGATAAGATCAGGCATATCTTGAAAGGGATTGAAGACGATACCTTTCAGATGCTGCTGGCAAGAAACCTGTCCACAGTGTCTGAACTTGTCAGTCTTTGCCATAGTTTTGATGAACTGCGCAAACAACTCGCAGCCACACGCCACTCTCACCCTTCAATTTTGGGATTAGCTGTTGCTCTTGACAACTCATCTCTGCTGGTACAGATTAAAAATTTTGTCTGTGAAGAGGTCACTCACCAGCTTTCACTGATGCCGCTTGTTCACGACCAGTCGAATTCCCTGTTGGAACCCGCTCTCCAAAACATCATCAGGGACCAGGTCGCCAAAGAAGTCTCACCTTCTCTCCATCAGGCTCGAACTGCTATTCCCCTGACGTACGCTGCAGTCGCTTTCGGGCCTGTGCTGCAAGGTTACAGCCCACGTCGTCGGCCTAATCGCCCACCAGTATTGCCGCTCGCCTAACCAGTCGTGCAGTACGCACAAGCCGACGACCCTTGGCGCATAGAAGACAACCCTCCTATTTATTTTAATAGTGGCCTTGTTGAATATGTGGCCCGTTACTGTCACTTTCATGTACCGACCATCTCGAAGAATGTGCGTTCACCAAGGGTCACTTATGCACCATGTCAACCCTGTCGCAGTTATTCATATGACTACGGAACTGATCCTACCCTCAGGACCCCACCCTCCCGTCACCACTCGCCTTCTCCTCGCCGCCGCTCCCTTTCCCCTATGCACAGACGGCGGAGACCTGTGCGCTGAGAAAACTAAGTAGCGCAGTTCAGAAGGCGAGAACTGCGATTCCGGCGAAATGCATAAGGCCTCCAATTTCTCCAAAAACGTTAAGTCGCTATAGAAGGAACATGAATGCTAGCCTTTGTAGACACTGCCGCTGCCCTTTCAGCGATTGATGCCCGCATTTGCCACTAAATCGGAAAAGTCACGACGCCTGTTTCTGGACTATCCCTTCGTACAGCTAACACGCAGCACATTGAGCCATTTAGTGCCTGCACAGCCCATGTTGTCATCCAGGATGTTTTTTATGTGATCGAATTCATCGTGCTGCCACCTTGTTCTCACAATGTCATATGAGGATGGGATTTCCTCCCTACACATCATGCGATCATCAATTGTGCCCGCGCTGAAGTCGAGTTGTTTCCAGTTTCTACAGACATCATCGATGACAAGGAGACATGTCGCAAAATCACAGTTTCTGACGACACCGTTGTGCCTGCCAGGTCTACTGTTCTTGCCTCCATTTATTCTGACTCTGGAAACAATGGCTCAGTGCTTTTTGTACCGTCTGCACTTCTAGTTCGCCACCGATCACTGCCATTGCCGTTTGCCGTCCTCGAGTTCAATTCCGGTGCCTCTGTGATGTACATCACAAATCCATCACCGCCTAAGCCAATTAGTTTGCACCGCCGAGAATCCCTTACCAAAGCCAAGCCGCTGGCATCATCTTCAATATTTGACACAATGCACAACTCCACTGATATGGCCACCCTCGAGACATCATCTCCTCGGCCACTACCGTGATCTTTCGCACCAACTATAGCCAGTGACCTTACGACGACACGAGACCAACTTCTTCACTTGCTCGAGGATTTCTCTTCCTCTTTTAAGTGCCCTGTGAGGGCACTCGGCCGCACAACAGCTGTTTCGCATACTATCGACACCGGAAGCTTTGCGCCCATTCGATAGCGTCCCTACCGTGTATTGGAGAGTGAAAGGCACCTCATCAATGACCAAGTGAATGGCATGCTTAATCGCGGTGTCATTCAACCTTCCAATAGTCCCTGGGCATCACCTGTTGTCCTTGTCGGAAGAAAGATGGCACGATATGATTTTGTGTTATCGCCAGCTTAACAAGATTACCCGAAAGAATGTGTACCCATTGCCACGAATTGACGACACACTCGACTGTTTGCAAGAAGTGGAGTTTTTTCCTTTCTTGGGTTTTCGCTCTGGTTACTGGCAAGTGCCCATGGCTGAGACTGACTACTCCAAAACCACGTTTGTAAGACGAGATGGATTGTATGAATTCACTGTAATGCCATTCAGTCTCTGTAATGCACCCACCACACTTGAACGCATGATGGATGGCATTTTACGCGGACTGAATTGGCGCACTTGTCTCTCCTCACTAGATGACATTGTCGTCTTTCCGCCAGAATTCCAGACCACCGACAACGCTTGCGTCAAGTCTTTACCTGTGTCCAAAATACCTCCCTCCGGCTTAACTTGAAAAAGTGCCTATTTGCCACTCGGAAACTAACTATACTAAGCCACGTCATCTCCGAAGAAGGCATTCTCCCTGATCCTGCTAACTTAGCGCCGTATCCGAGTTCCCAAAGCCAAACCTGAAAGCACTGCGCACCTTCATTGGCCTATGCTCATATTTTCCATGCTTCGTTTGAAATTTTGCTACCGTCATCGCACCTCCTAATGCACTCCTCCAAGGCGACACCAAACTATCTACTTGGTCAGAAGCTTGTGACGATGCATTTATGACACTTTGCCAACTGCTTACATCTCCCCCAATTTCGCATCACTTCCCTCTGAGCGCACGCACAGAAATTTACACTGATGCCAGTGGTGTCAGCCTTGGTGCTTTGCTCGCACAAGACGATGCCAACGCCGAATATGTGGTTGCATATGCCAGTCGTGCACTCACAAAACCTGAGGCCAATCACACCGTAACCGAGAAAAGAGTGTCTGGCCATCATATTTCGCCCCTATTTTTACGGTCGTCCTTTTGACATCGTAACAGACCACCACGCTCTGTGTTGGTTGTCAAACCTCAAGGACCCGTCAGGTCGTCTCACTCAGTGGGCCTTCAGACTCCTGGAATAAGACATTCGTGTAGTATATCCTTCTGGCCGCCGACACTCTGATGTTGATGCCCTGTCGCGCTTCCCACTCATTTCAGACACCAACGCATCTAGTCACAATCACAATATATCACAACTTGACATCTTGCACATGGCCTGGGAGCAACGAAATGACCCATGGAGCACCACTATTCTGAACTTTTTGTCAAGCTCCCTGACCACACCTGCTCCACGAACGCTACGCCGCCAGGTGCAGCATTATGCTATCCGTGACGGCCTTTTATACCGCCATGACTACCACAATGATGGCCGCACATGGTTATTGGTCGTACCCCGCCATCTTCGTCGCGATCTATGCTCCGCTTTCTACAATGACCCTCAGTTTGGCCACAGCGGCGTGTTCAAGACGCACATGCGCCTTCGTCTATGCTTTTATTGGCACGGCATGTACAGCTTCGTCTGCAAATACGTCCACTCTTGCCTCACCTGCCAATGACACAAACCAGCCTCACACCTCTTCACAGCACCTCTCCAGCCACTTCCCTACTCAGCCCACTCATTTGATGGCATCAGCATTGATTTGTACGGGCCTCTCCTATGCACTGGCACTGGCAACCGCTGGATTGTCGTCGCCGTGGATTATTTGACAAGATACACCAAAACCACTGCATTACCTGCCGCAACAGCCAAAGATGTTGCTTCATTTATTCTATGCAGTTTTGTTCTCGATCATGGCGCCCCTCGTGAAGTTCTGAGTGATTGGGGCCGTGCATTTCTGTCAGAGGTGTTGCAATTACTCCTATCCGAATGCAGAATTATTCACCACACCACTCCCGCATATCACCCACAGACAAATGGATTAACGAAACAATTTAACGGAACTCTTGATGACATGTTGTCGATGTACGTTGTGTCAGACCGCTGAAATTTGGATCTTGTTTTTCTGTTTGTCACATTCGCGTACAACACCACCTCCCAAGTCCACTACCGGATTCTCACCATTCTACTTGCTATACGGCCGTGAACCCTCCAGCACCATTGATACGATTGTACCATATACCATCCAGACGCTGATGACTATCAGCCTGTGTCTTCGGTCGCTCACCATGCCGAGAAACGCCGACAACTGGCCCGTTCTTTCACCTACGACTAATAGTGTCGCCAAAAACAACATTATGACTCCGACATCCCTCCTGACCCTTTCATCATCGACTCTTTTGTGTGGCTTTGGGTCCCGCCAGTTGCTTCTCCTGGCCTTTTGTCTAAGCTTCTTCCGAAGTACCACGAACCCTACCGCATGGTTGCGCAGACCTCTCATGTTAATTAATTGGTTGAACCCATTATGCCATCTTCCGACCTTCGTCATCGGGGACGAAAAACAGTCCACATTAACTGTCTCAAGCCATATTATGATCCTCTGACCTCTCTCTAGGTCACCATGATGGCTACCTCTCGATACCGGGGGTGATTATGAGGAAGAAGATAGACACGTGCAGAAGCGCATTGCCATGGCCTGGCTCGCTTGGCTGTTCGCTCCCTGGCTATGCCTTGTCTGCTGTCACTGCTATCTTCCTGGCCACTGTGTACCTTAATAAAGCCCTGCAACCACACTGTAAAAACAACATAAAAGCTCTTCTTACCCTCTAACTAATTCTGATACATTAAAATGGCACGATAGGAATGCAAGAAACAAAATAAGCATTTGCCTATTACCCGGTCTCTAGTTATGAGACATACCATCATTGTGAAGGGCTCCAGATTTGGTGATTATAAACATCTAGGCTTTCTCAATGTATACCTAAACCTAAATGTACAAGCACTTTTGCACTTCCCCTCGTTCAAATGTGACTGGAAATCAAGGCAGTTACATAGTATCTAGCAGAACAGGATTACCACCAAATCAATGCGCCCTGTTTAGTATTGGGAAAAGGGTTAAATGTAACTAATGTTTGTAGTACTGTCGATAACTATAATCTTACGTGAATGTTGCCCTTTGGTTTCCTGTTGTCAAATAAAATGTCTGTAGAAGAGCTTTAGCTAAGGCATTTGAAAAGTAACAAGTGAAGAGTAGTACAAACATTTACTCATAATTAAAGATCTCACTAACCTTGTCTATATGATTCTGTGCCTTGGAGAATGTATCAACAGGTTCTTGAAGCCAGACAGACTCTGGAACATTTACTTGGTTGCTGCTCGAAGAGTAGTTGCCATCCGTGTCATCACATAGGGAAGAATGTCGCACTGGCACCGAGCTTGGATATGCAATTATTTTCAAAGACTTTGGCCTTTCGATTTGTGCTTCCCCAGGTAATGCCAGAACATGAAAAATTATGATAGAGATGGAACTACCAATCAGCATCACAGTATTCACAATAATAACCAGAGCAATAAGTACACGTGATTTATGCTTAGCAGTACCAGCACAGTATTTGAATATATATCTTGCTTTTGCCAAGGCTGTAAATACACTGCAAAACTTATTTGAATCTTTTATTTAAGGGCTTCACACCCAAAAAGTTATTTGGCACAAAATTACTTATTGTGATCGGATAATCAAAGAAAAATTAAATTTTCTTCTATAACATCTACTTTGGTTACTTTCACAAACAAAAAGAACCAACCATCAACATTATTATTTGCATAACATAAATGGCATATTTGCTACTTTTCTTCAGCCTTTCTTTTTGGTGACCAACACATCATTACCAGTTGCCAATAGGCTCCCTCCTTCTGTAGCAGATTATCAATAAAGGTATATGAAGAAGGATTGTTACACAGTACAGCTCCTGCTTGCTAAAAATAAATGCTCTTTCAGTAACAATACTCTTCTTCATGCATACTACTCTCATCATTTGCAGTATTTTATCATTAAGTGAGTACTGACATAACATTTTTAATTAATAAATCACTGTTGGCCCAATAATCATAGCCTTAACTAAACATGAACTGAACTAATACAAACTAGATGTCTAAACTAATAATATCTAAATAAATAACAAAACTAAATGTCTTTCTTACACAAGAAAATATTGACATCAAAATATATTCAGAGTTCAAAATGCTACAACTGAACTGCTAATTTGACTATCACATTACGACCAAATGCCAAGTTGTACTGATGTCCAGTGATTGTATATATGAGGTCAGATGCCACCAACAAAAACAGGATATGCCTAACTTCACAACGGTCACCTAATATAGTAGTGGCTCTGGTTACATCTTGCCACAAACAGATGAGTGCACAGAGTCATCGGCTGAAATGCGTAGGCAGTTACAAAGATAGATAGATATGTGACGTTTAATGTCCCAAAACCATCATATGATTACAAGAGATGCTGTAGTGGAGGGCTCTGGAAATTTTGACCACCTGGGGTTCTTTAACGCAGACCCAAATCAGAGCACACATGACTACAGTATTTGGGCAGTTACAAATTTCAGTTAGAAACTTCAATTAACCTCAAGTTTCTTTGCATTATGCATGGAATAGAAGGGATTGTAAAAGACGCGATGGTAAGGCATGCTGTTCACACATAGTGCGGAAGGAACTCGTCGCAGTCAGATGTCTCCAACCTTCACACATCCATGCATCACACCACTTATTTCACTCTTAGCAGTCCTCACTAATGTCTACTAACGTTTACTACATGAAAAGGCATTTTAGGTCACTGCTCGCACTGCATTGATGTGCTGTCCACAATGTTCAAGTAACAAAGTGTTCTTGTTTAAAGTCAACTGCTTGCTACAGTATTCATTATCAGACATGCAAATAGGTACTGATCAGAAGCTATATGCAAGCGTATTTTTAGGGGTATACCTGAGCCTCTTGCCATCAGGCATTGGCACAAAAAGAGTCCCCAAATTGTCATCTTCCTCTACATATACACCTTTTCTCCATCAACAGTGGCTATCCACAGAAGTTTATTCTATGCTCTCTGTACCAATGATGCTCGGTCAACACAGTGTGCCCCGCCGCGGTGGTCTAGTGGCTAAGGTACTCGGCTGCTGACCCGCAGGTCATGGGATCGAATACCAGCTGCAGCAACTGCATTTTCGATGGAGGCGAAAATGCTGTCGGCCCGTGTGCTCCCGTTTGGGTGCACAAGAACCCCAGGTCGTCGAAATTTCTGGAACCCTCCACTATGACATCTCTCATAATCATGAAGGAGTTTTGGGACGTTAAACCCCACATATCAATCAATCAACACAATAAGTCTGTATAAAAATCCAATGACATAAACTGAGTGCAAGATTGTGTGCCAAAATGTTTTTAAACAGCAGCTACCATTCAGAATGTCCGACACAAACATTTCCTCTGTGCCCTTTCTGGAGTGGCATGCACTTAATGGTGGCACCCGTGTACTTAGATACAGGTGCACGCTCAACTCTTTCGTTACCACGCCTATTCAAATTGATCACCAGTGATCGACGCTTTTGGGTAATCTATTTTGGCATGTTAAATTTGTTTATCGTGCACCCAGCACTTTCTAGTAGTTAGTCCAGCCACTCAACTTTCAGAATCGAATTCGATTTGTCCATTTTAGCCCAGAGTGATTTTCGACAGACCTTAGCGCGAACTAATGTGTGTGTATTGTGGAAAAAATGCACTAGGCTGGCGAACTTGACAGAAGTGCGTGCCCCTTGTGATTATGCTACAGCAACATCGAAGTTCTGTAATGAAAAGAACCTTTGCAAGACAAATATCGAATCGTAGTGTCAGCTTTGCAATTTGACTATGTTAAGCAGTAATAATTGCGAAAAATTTTTGCCAGATATTCAATAGAGAGCTGTTCCTACGAGTCGGGGAAAATTTGTTCGACAAAAAGTATTTACGAAGGTCCGCCGTGCATTTAAAGTGTCGAGGTGGCTTTCTCTGACATTTTCCACCAGCTTTGGTTTTGCTTGCATTGTTATATCAGATGCAAGGTCGCATCTAGTGTCACTATAGTCGTTCCTATGACATCGTCATCACGCATGCATGGGTGCGCATCAGGGCTGCAAAAAACATGCACTGCTCGAAACTGTTTTCCAAACCCGCCTGAATTGAGTGAGGACGAGCTTAGAGTTCGAGGATGATAGCACCTCAGCTTCAAATTTTATGGAGATGATGTTTTGTGTCAGCCTGAGACATCCACATCCTTTCATAGGTTTGTTTTGTTTATGGCCTCAAGTTGTCTTCTCCATCACAAGTGCGTAGCTGCTGAGCCTTGTGTGCAATATTATAGCTACTCTGATTACATGTGTGGTCCATACTTCGCTGGGGCGCAGTGTGCTGGCGCTGACTGCTAACGGCAAGAAGGCCCCCGGAGCACATATTGACGCTGAATACAGAGCAGCACAAAACGTTTTAGAACTGTGCACGATATTATGCTTTTTTTATTACAATATACGCGAAAATGCAAAGAAATATGCTTAGATGCATATATTGGAATGCCAACCTATGCTGGGTGAGGTGGCTCATGGAAAGAGATGACGCTAACAAAGTTCTATGGACGTGCCATTTATAGAGGCATTATTCACATCATGGTTATCCATCTATATTGAAACACTTAGAGACTCTTATCACAAGAAAACAAAAATTTGCTGAGAAAGTGTACGAGTACACGTGTCTCACGAAAAACCATGCAATGCTTCACCGCATAGCATGAGCAACGAAGCAGCACCTGGCTTCTGATTTTCTTTGTCTATGTAAAGAGAAACACTTTGTACAACATTCATTATTTATTATACTGTTCCTGGGTCATTTATCTACACAATGTATACCCTGAATTTTCTTTGTTTTTAATGCTTTTGCACATATAGGGCTTTTTATTCCACTGTTTACCAGCTGGCGACCAAAAATACCATACTTTTCACATTTTTATTCATTATAAAATATTTTTCTTGCTCTGCAACTTATATTTTTGTGGAAGAGCATTTCAGTGTTCAAAGTTTGGTATGATGCAATGTGTGCTAGAGTACTTTTCAAACTGACAAAAGCGATATTTCCAAGACATATAAAGAACAACCATTTTCATGCGGTAACGAAAGAGTTAAAGACCCCTAGTGGTAAAAATTATTGCAAAGTTTCCTACTATGACATGTCTCACCATCTTATTTTGGTTTTGACATTGTTGAAATTCCCAGAATTTAATTTTTTTATTGACATGTGATACAGCTTTTAGGATGATATGGAAACAATGGTTTTCCAAAGTGATGTTTAAATGGCCTTATGCAAAACTATACCTAAAGTCACTGTGAAAAAAAAAGCAAAGAATCATCTACTAAAAAGTTGCAGGTATTTGTGACCAATGAATACATGGCAACAAAACTGTGCAGCTTACTATTGTCCACAATTTGCTCATAAGTTGAACATGTTTTTTTGAGACACTAGCTAAGAAGGCATTCCTTCAGCTTGTGCAGCTCCAACTGGTGACAGCAAAATTTTTTGGGAAAGAACAATCTTTTTAAGAAGAGATTATGTCAAACAGGTTTATTTGAAGTATAGCTGCTGGTGTAAAAGTGATTTTGCTAACAGATGAGGATGAGGAAACTGCTACACTGCAACATACAGCCTAGGATAAGAGACAGACAGAAGACAAGACACAACATAAGCAGAACACCTAATTGTTATTTTTGTTTCTTTTTGTTCACCCACAAGTCAGTTCAGCTAGTTCAGTAGAAATCCCTCTGAAGCTCCACCTATGATGCAGGATGAGTTCAAAACATGATGTGAGCAACTGTGCTACCATTCTTACTATCAAGGGATATATAGCTAGAAAACACAAAGATGACATGCAAGCAGCTACCGAGCTTGGCTGATACACAGGCCAATGAGTTTGATGTCAATATGAAGATGGTGCTTTTCCGACCCAGAACTGCCAAAATATTAATTTTCCAGGCAAGCAGCTCTTTACTAGATGTAGCTTGAGCATTTGTGACAGCTTTTAAGACAGCACACCCACATTCTTTCCAATTTTTTGTTAGAACTAAACGTGACTTCTGCATCAATGGCATTCTCATCATCTCTTATTGCATTTAGTCTGTCACTGTTCAGTTAGTCGATCATGGACAAAGCTGATTACTTCATTCGACAGTTGCATGCTTCAACTGTAGTTAATCCAAGAGCACTCTATAGGCCCTTAAAGATGCACCTATGCCTGACTACGTAGTGCACACTCCATAAGTTCATTTAGTACAGTGATGCTACAAGAAGCAGATCTTTCCCTTGAATTGGATATGCATGCTCCATACAGGTAGAAACACTATTTTGCTTGGTTATTATAATAGTTATATCTGTACATATCCTACATTTGCACACTGCATAGCCCAGTAGCATTAGTACCCAGCTGCACATCTCTTTTACCTTAATAAGAGCAGTCCTCAACCTGGAGGCAACATTTTTAGATGAGGATTTGCCTTCATGAACTATAGAACCCCCTGTACAAAAAGATTGATTTCAAGACAAATTCATTTGGTCTCCATATCACAATAACATGGTCAGCACACTAGAATCCGTCCAAAATAGGGCAGCACAGTTCATATCACGAATATATAGTTACCACAGCAGTATCACACGATTTAAAACCAGTCTTGGCCTACAGACCTTGACAACCGTGACATACTTTATTAACATTATTCTACAAGTACGTCCCCTCCAACAGGTCATGTTCACTTCATCTCGATGTCCCATCCCGAACATCCAGAAGGTTGCATAATAACTTGAGTATTACATGCATATATGGTCGTACATTAACATTCAACTCATCAGCACTCCCACGAGCCATTACATTATGGAATAACCTGCTAGACAACATAGCTTCATTGTCCAACCCTGACGCATTCCACCACCAACTAACTGCTCATTTCCACGGAAGTAGTTCATTGTCCATTAATAAACAGCACAATTTTTGTATACATGTGTATGTATACGTATATATGTGTATTGTACCAATATTATATATACATCATGTATTTATTCACTACGTGCTTATGTACATTTTATTATGAAGTGTTTATTTTTTGGGGGGCATTGTTTCCTAGTGGTTTTTGATCCCTTTACATTTTTTTCTTTGCTCATTGATGTTATTTTAGAGCCACCCTTAATTGATATATGGGGTTTAACGTCCCAAAACCACCACATGAATATGAGAGACGCCGTAGTGGAGGGCTCCAGAAATTTCGACTACTTGGGGTTCTTTAACGTGCCCCTAATCTGAGCACACAGGCCTACAACATTTCCGCTTACATCGGAAATGGAGCCGCCGCAGCCGGGTTTTGAACCCGCGACCTGCGGGTCAGCAGCCGAGTCCCTTAGCCACTAGACCACCGCGGCAGGGCTAGAGCCCCCCTTACACAGTGCCCAAGAGGCCTGTAAGGAATTTCAAATAATGACAGCTTGTATTTGGTGGACCAATTTGGTAATCTTTTTTTAATGGAAATATAACTCATGATGACGGTAGGTGCCAGTACAGGGGATGGTGCCTCCCACTTTCAATGCAATTTTTTATTCAGCCCCACAACACAGAGCTCTTGCAACGAGGACTCTTGTCTTAGTCAAAGCGCAGATGTTGGCTGCTAGCCAAGATTTTTTGACAAAATCTCAGATGTAGGCTTTCCTCATTCAACTACTGCTGATCCCATCTTCATCTTCCCGTGGCCTTTCTGTTGAGGTGATAACCTATATTGCGAAGTGGAAGAAAACGACAACCCCCTCTCCACCGTTACGGAATAAATAATCAGCGAGAGCAAACTTTCATACACTTTCTGACAAAACTGATGTAGTAACGGGTCGTAATCACATTAGCCTTATGACAACCTTTGGAATTCGACATTACTGTTCACAATGAAAAAAAAGACAAATTATTGACACAAGGTGGCCGAAACCCAGTTATACGAGGATGCAGTAAATTATGAACGCGTTCATATTACTGCATCCTCGTATGTTGGCTCATTCAGGACTGGGTCTTTGCTCAACAGGGGTCCCCCAACCCCCACAGGTTGCATGTATGTGTGAGGGGAAGGGGTATGTATGTGCGTACTTACTAAAGTACCCACAGTACTGCTGATCACCAGGCAAAGCTCACCCTACTGCAGTTAGCTGATAACACAACTGCTCAGCTTAATCATTTGATTGGTGCAAGTCTATAATTACAGGTAACCTTTAAAACTGCATACAAGCAAAGAAAACAAGTTCAACGCTGTTTGAAACGCATCTACAAAGCTGCCACTTAAGAATAACACATGTTAGAGCGTAAAGCTACAGAGGAAAAGATGCTACGGTAGATGCATACCTTTTGGCTTATCACCTACAACAATAAGGCATTCCCGACGATTTTGGCACACATTTTGGCCAAAAGCGATTGAACCCTCCCGATTATCTGGAGCGCATTCAGATGCGGACTCGCTACGCGTGCTAACAAAGCGCTGAAAGGAAAATGGGTTCGCATCTTTGTCGACGGCAGCCAGCTCTCCATTATCGCAGGGAGTCGCCATTTTGCAGAGTCTTCGTACTTGCGGGCAACGTTACTAGATACTTTTCCAGTTGTTAAACTCCGCCGCGGCGCGTGACGCTTTTCCATTGAGCGCCGCGTGGGGGCGCACGCGACACGATTGGCCCGGTTCGGTGAGAGGTGCAACCGCGAAGGAACCGGCCTGCGAGCGCAGAAGGCGACCGCATCGTTCTGCTCGAGTTGTTGTGCGCGTTTGCTTTTGTTTCCCGTGTATAGACGTAAAATGTCGATGACTGCTGTGACTGTGTAGTGAGAAGCAATGCCCCGTTGCTTTGTGACCGGCTGCAAAAGCGGCTACGACTCTGCGAAGAGCGCAGCTGAGAAGAGACACTTTTTCAAACCGCCCAACGAAACTTCGAGGCTTCAAGAATGGCAACACGCGATCCCAAGGAGCGACAGGGAGCTCACGAGCTCTTGTGTTGTGTGCGACCTTCACTTTCAGGAAGCAGACCTTGTGAAAAACTTCGTGCACAACATCCGCGGTGACGTCGTCGTCATACCGCGAGACAAGTGGAGCCTCAAAGATGATGCCGTACCCCGCTTGTTTCCCAACTGTCCGAAATATCTTTCGAAGCCTTTGCGGAAACGCAAAGCTCCTGCCGTGAGGTCACCCCTCCAACCGAAGCGTCGGAATGTTCAGGACGATGCCGAACAAGAAAACACAGCGCCGAACACCTTCGACTATGGGGAGAGAGACGGCTCTGTGTCAGGCAGCGTCACACTCGATAGTACCCAGTCCTTGTTCGAGGAGCTATCGACAATGGCGCAAGAGGGACGGCGGCTGCAAGGCTGGTCGACTGAACTCGTTGATTCTGTTGTCATCCAAGGACGCCCACCAAGAAGAGAAAGTCCGCCTGCATGACATAGTGGAAGCCAAAATGATGGAAATTACAACTGCTTCTGCTGACACATCTGAGCAAGGGCCAAGCGACCACGCCTATTTCAAGGGTGTGGTGGAGGACATTGTTGTGTACTACCTGTGTGGCTATGTCATACACAAGTTCACCAAGCATGCAACATGCCATCTCTGCATAGAGGACATTAGCTCCGCCACACCTGTGCTTGCTTCTGACAGCTACCTAACCGACTACAGGAGCTTCAAGTAAGGCAGCTTAAAGCATCCAACACAGAAGATGTTGACGTTTTTTAAAATAGTCACCAAAGTAGTTTCAGCTTGTCTGGACAAGGAGGATCTCTGCGGGGACATATTTTGGAAAGTGTTGGAAGAGTTGGAGAAGCACCACCTTTCTCGACTCGGCTGTGACCAGCACAATTCAGCATTCACGTGCCAACTGCTGAACTTTTTTATCATCACCCGCATGCATTTCTTCTCGCGGGATGTGAACCGCCGCCTCGGAAGCAGCCAAAAAGTGGCAATAGCGAACAAAAAGGCCCGCCTGCTGTGAGCAATCACGCAGCAGCCGAATAAGGTTCTTTGAATGTGTGTACGTTTGTGTTTTAAGTGTGTGCTGGCGCGTTACTTTGGCTCTTTGGATATGTGAAGCACTCCTGCTTGTGCGTAAAATAAATGTTTGTCAGGGCGTGCATACATTTCGTCGGCGTCCGCTGCTGAGCTAGGAGCCGGGCTGCTGCAAAGATGAGTACGAGCGCTTTGAGTTGACGTTTTTCTCTTGTCCTCGCCGGTAGTTCGCGCTTTCAAGAAGCAACTTGTTATACCAACTGCCACAAGCAACCACGCGTGCGAGTGGGCGTGATAGTGTGCGAAAATAATCTAGCTGTTACGAACCAACGTGCGCACGCACGTTCGCGATACGCGGTGCTTTCTTTATCGAAAGTTCGCGAGCAATACAAGCCGCCCAGTCCGCGTTTTCCGGTTTTCTGTATAATAGCAGGCAACTTGCCTCAAATAGATGGAAAATGTTAGCCGAAAAAGCATGCAGAACCTATGAACAGCACCCGCTACTGCGCTGAACTGCAGGGGAAAGTTGCCTGTTCAGCTGCGCGCCGACGCGCTCGATCGGGCCGACCGTGGCGCGAGCGCCCCTGGCGGCAGTAAACAGAGAGGGGTCAAGTTTGTGCGGCGGTCCAGGCGGAGTTTGACAACTGGAAAAGTATCTAGTAACGTTGCTTGCGGGCAGTAAATCGTACTTGCGGCTTTGTTTATTGTTGGTTTCGGTTTCGTTTTGAAGTAAAGAACTTTTTTTTTTAATTTTGTGACTCTGTTCGAAATGGTAAGCCTAAAAAAATAAGGTGGTGAATCGAAGCCGCTGAACACTTGCTGGCTTTTGTTTCGTGAAGAAACAGCTTCACGCCACACGAACACACAAGCAGGCCAGAAGTAGAGTGTACTATAAGTGCACTGTACTAGAAGTACAGTCCTTCTACTTCTAGCATAGGTGTTACCCTTTGTTATTTCGCAGATGGTGCGTGTGCGGCCGCACAAGCCTATCTCACAAATTATTTTGCGCTCAAAATTTTTTTATTATTTTTTTTGTGGCTTGCGGTTGTGTTGTTAAGCTTAATGTCGGTTGCAGAGCGCTGTCGTCGCAACCAAAACGCCTTTTTTTTTTTCAGTTTAGATGTGTTTTTTTTTTGTTTTGTTTAAATCAAACCATCAGACATGCCACGTGGCCACAGACGTGGCTGCGGTGTCGGAGGATGCAGCTCGATCTTTCTCGTTGCTGCAATTATCCTGTGCTCGCGGACATATTTGAAACCGCATAGCTCTTGTTGCAACAAACACACAGACACACACACAAAAAAAAAGATAAGCGTATGGATATCTTCTTGAAACTTATAGGACGCCGTGTCTTGCGAAATGGTGTAGAGGCATGCTGAAACTTGGTTTCTTGCCAGATTTAACACGTGCTTCCAACAGAGCTGTACGGGCAGTTGTGTGAAAAGAAAAATGTTTCTCAAACGTGTCGTTCTTCGTCCGGTTACGCCTTTGTGGGGTATGTGTGCTACTTTTCTTCATAAAAATGCGTAACTTGCAGCTGTGTTTAATACCGCGCGTGTAACAAACTAACAAACGTACAAGCAATAAGTGCGCGTGTATTTTGCTCGTGCCCGAATGCCCCACCGATGTTTCCGCGCATGCTGACGAGCGAGCCGTTAGCTGGACCAATGGATACGAAAGAAAACGAGCGTTGAAGCAAATATACGTGGCATATCCTTTCGAAAGCACGTTTATCACCCTCAAAGCATGAACGTCCCTGCACTCTAAACTTGAAAAGGGTGGTTTGCTGAACGAGTTGGAATCGCATCTTGAAAATAACACTAAATACAGCCGAATTACTGTGTGTTTCTTTGCTTTCGTGTGCGTTATTTAGCGCTACGTTCTTTAAGAAGCTCTGAGGTTCGTTGCCGTGACGTGGAGCTCTCAGGTTGCCGCCTAGCTGCTCCGAAGCATCTTAGGAATAATTTTCATATGCCTCTCTCGTGTAGTGCAACTGCGAATATGTAATTAAAAGGCTGCACTAAGCCATGCACTTTGTGATCGGTCTTATTCTCCGACCTTATTGTCATTGCTACCTAATGTGCGCTTTAAAACTTTATTTTTTCGAACATATTGTCATCTGTAGTGCGTGCGATTTTTCAAACCTGGCATTTCGATCACTGCTTTTTAAATGTGAAACATTTCTTAGAGAACTGCAAGCACTTTGAGCGTTTTTATCAATGAAACTATCTAGGCGCCTACATCTGGGTTCTCTGGTGATTGCACCCTTAATGTGGGGTATACCTAAAATTAGTATGGGAGGATAAGAGGATTTGACAAACATGTCTGCCTAGTCATGAATGTTAAATTCTGTCAAGCACGTCAAGTGCTTTACTCTAGACACATGGCACATAACTGTATACCACAGGTTGCGGGTATGCGCCACAGGTGATTGGCAGTTTATATCCACAGTTTTATTATAGCTGCCAGTGCACTCTGACAGACGGACAAAGACTGTGTGTCAGAGTGTGCTGTTAGCTTTAATGGATCTTCACCAACTAGCCCTGTCAGACTTTGCTATGTCTACACGAACAGTGAGGACAGAAATTTGTAATTTAAATGCGAGAGCATTAATAAAAACTTACATCAGTGGCGTTGACCCGTGGAATGCAAAGAATATCAGGGTCCCAGCAGAAATCGAACCCAAGCATTCTGAATGGCAATTAAGTATCAACTGCAGAGCCTCACTAGGTCGTAAAGCTGCCTTGGATTAAGTTACTATGCAGGTGTAATGTTGGTGAAACGTCAATAGTTGTTGTAGTGCTGGGTACTTAGTTTTATGAACATTACATATCTACTATGATAGAGGCGTCAAATCGGGCTAACGTCATTTGTATACTTAAGCACCATCAGCTGAAGTTGGTCTACGTTGCACTAGCCAGGAGTGCCATCCTCTCAAGCACAGGCGCTACATATCAGCTTTGATAGTGACAAAAATGCTCGAGGCTTGTGTGCTTATATTTAGGGGCACGTTAAAGAACCCCAGATGGTTGAAATTTCCACAGCCCTCTACTACAGCATCTATTATAATCATATTGTGATTTTGGGATGTTAAATCCTATAAATAAATAAATTACATGTCAGCTTACTGCTTCTGGCATTAGCAATATCAATGTTACCGTTGGCATCATTTCTCAACTGTAAACTGCTTATATAAAACATATGTGACTGTCAAGATATATCTGTGCACACAACCTTTATGCATATCTTTAGTGTCATTTTATAATGTTTAGCTCAATAAAAAAATTACACCACAGTCACTTTCCCTCCGCATTCTTTGCATAACGTTGATTACCATGGTGCATTGTATCTGCCAAATTTTTCATAATAATGTGAGGTGAAGTTAACCAGCCTCTATAGTAGGCTATCATCCCTAAATAACATTCAATAGTCCCACTTCTCAATCTTAGCCTGCTTTCTTAGTAAAGAACAACTCATTATTTTCTTTGTTCTCATCGTGTCCCTGCTGTATATTTCAGCGGAAAAGTTTGACAGTGTAAGCTGTTATGGGCTCACTCAAACAGCCATTCTTGGAGCCAATGTAGCATGTGACCGTTGGTGTCTATCACCAGAAATGAGTGCTGTCGTGATCAGCAGCTCGCCAAAAAAACAAAAAGCTCATGCATGTCTTGAGTAAAGGGTGGTGTCTCGCCATGTCTACTGCTGTGCTACTGCATCTCGGTTAAGCCACCTGGCATTGTTTGTGTCATTGCTGCAGAAACTGCCAGAAGAAATTGCTTGAGATCTCAAATATCTGCACCAGCCGTAGCACTCATGGCCTGGCTAGGAACTTTCGTAGCCTTGACCACCTGCTGGCAAAAAGTTGGAGAAATTACATTTCGCGTCGACAGCTCATTGAAATTTGCCTCAACAGAACTCACTCGGACTCAGGCTCACTAAAGTTTTCTCAACTGGACTGACTCGCAATCAAACTCTCCAATATATTGCTCATCCGGACTCACTCAGACTAGCTAATTGATCCGAGTTTGAGTGAGTTGACTCATGAGTTTATTGGCATAAAATTCGCTTTTCTGGTGCAAATGCTCTTTGTCGTCAATATCTCACATAATTGGTGCTCCATGATATGCCTTTTTATGTTGTAGCTTCATATATGAGTTATCAGTTGTTGCAATCTAGTAGGGATGTTTTTTGAAATAAGCAGCTCCCATGAGATCTAGATATTTGCATCAAGAACATCACATGAAAGAGTTGGGGGGGGGGGGGGGGAAAGCAGGCCATGGCACCCCTTCTCGTCTAACGGAAACTGATGCCTCTGATCAACAGACATTGAGGTAGTGCATGAATGCTAGTGCATTGAGATATGTGTAAAAAGACTTGCATACAAACGTAAGTCAATATAAGGTCAGTATTGCTGATAGGTGAGTATACAGGACAATGGGTTAACAGTTGAAGGTGGAGCTCACTCAGATTCACACAAGGAATATATGTCGCGCTTAGGGCTCACTCGGGCTCAGACTTATATTACTCAGTCGTACTCACTCGGACTCGAAGTCACCAAAGTTTTTCTCAGGTGAACTCACTTGGACTCAAACCTATCAAAACATTACTCACCTGGACTCACTCTGACTCATAGCTCAATCAGAGTTATTCTGATTACAGTTTTCTCTGGATTTATGTGCATGTCTCAGCACTCACACCAGGTATTAACTGTATGAACACTTTGATTCGATAACACTTGGTCATCTGTGGATTTCACTGAACTAAACAGAAGGCAATCATCGGCAAACAGCCGCATTTCAACACCATATTTAGCACAGGATGTAATATCATTGATATGTAGATTAAAAATAATAGTGGTCCCAAAACGCCACCCTGGGGAACTCCGGAGTTAACGGGAAGAGGATTGGAGTAAGTATCGTTTATATAAACAAACTGTGTGCGAAAAGACAGATACAATGTTACCCATTTAACAATGGTCGAGGGAAAACCAAGCAAGTTAAGTTTGTGAATTAATTTGGAGTCAGGTATTTTATCAAATACTTTGCTGAAGTCAAGGAAGGTGACGTCAGTTTGACCGGATTTATCTAGGACTGAGGAGAAAGAATGTATACAGGAAACTAATTGGGTTGTTGTGGATAGACCTTTACAGAAACCATGTTGGAATGGTGATAGTACGTTGTGCATGTTTAGAAAATTAATCATATAGTTAGAAAGTATGTGCTCTAGAAGTTTACAAGTGCTGGTAAGTGAGATTGGTCTGTAGTTAGATAAAAAGTATTATGTATTTCTTTTTTTAAGTACCAGAATTATTAGAGCGATACACCAGTCTAAGGGAACAATGCCTTAAGATAATGATAAGCGAAAGATCACTACAAGGAAGCGGGAAAGTGATTCAGCGTAATGACGTAAAAAAGTATTTGGCAGCAAGTCCCGACCACAAGAAGATTTTATTTTAAGGTTCAGAAGCATGGAAAAGACACCTTCAAACGTTATGAAGTCAGGATCAGTTTCTACTGTATTACTGCCAATGGCACTATTAAATGAGCATGGATTGGAAAAAACAGAGTGAAAGTAACGGTTAAATTCTGTGGCCATTTGTTTCTTATTTTGAATAATTTGATCCCCAAGCACAATGCAATGTGTAGTTTTCTATTGATTAACTTTTATGTGGTGTCAAAACTTGGCTGGATCACTCTTAAGGAATTGGGGTAATTTAACAGAATAAAATTCATGTTTATTGGACTGTATTCTTTCTGAAAGCGTTCTTTTTAATTTCTGAAATGGCAATCCTTTTGAGTTATGCTTTCTCATACGCTTTACTTTCCGTGCAATTTGAATGATTTCTCTAGTTATCCATGGATTTTTGGGATGTTGCTTTTTATTTTTGTTGGAAATAAAATTGTCAAGGCAATCTACAAAGTGATCAGAAGGTATTCGACAGATAGTTTACATCATCACCAGAAAAGCGATCCAAGGCTACATCGAGGTAATCTAGAACTGTCTCGTCATGGGCTCTAAAAAATTTTTTTAACACTTTTTGTTTCCCGTGCATATTGTGAGATTGATTACCAAGACGGCATGTAAAGAAAACCAATTTGTGATCAGACAGACCATCATCAACAGATACATGTACGTCAGAATGGAGTTTCCTGTGAAACACAAGATCTAATATTGACGATGTATCATCCTGCACCCTTGTTGACACATTCACAGCTTGTTCCAGATTGCTTGCCAGCGTTAAATCAAAAACAACCTGGTCACTTGAGGATGAAGAGCATAGTTTGGATCAATTAATATTGGATAAATTAAAATCCCCTGTTAGTATTAGGCGGCTTACAGAATATTCAACACAGAAATCATAAATTTTAGACAAGAAATCATCATCTGAAGTCAGAGAGCAGTAGGCCGCTACTAAAATAATAGAATTTCCGAACACGTTTAGTTTCAAACATAAGCTTTCATGGCCATCTATTTGTTTCAAAGATGTAACCGTCA